CTTGTCATGAAACATATTTATCACAACAAGAAGCGATATGGTATGGAGTTGTTAAAGAATCCTCTTTATTTAACAATTGCTTTCCACTTTTTTTAATTAAAATATTAGATACATCTGCATTTGTGCAGCAACCCTAAACTATATGAAGGGGAGTAGAATGTGTCATAAACCTAGCTACGTGATGCTAAAAAATCCCCATCACACAGGATGGTTAGTCATACAGAGGCACGTGATAAGCAGTCTTCACTAACAGACTCCGGGTGCATTACGAGGATATCATCAACATAGGAGTGAATAAGGTAGCACTGATAATAAAGGTCCCTCATTTCGCAGGATGGTCAGTCATAGGGCCATATGTATAGTAGCCTGCACTGTTAAATTTTGGGTGCAATATGAGGATATCTTCACGAACACGAGAGTGAATAAAGTAATTGCAAAGCTCAAGGTACCTCATGCTCACGGGTCTGATAGGTCTATTAACTGGGTATTGGGTGATGTAGTGCGGGAGATCTGGCCGCAGTTCCTGCTCACAGAGTTTGCACCTAAAGTGCTCAGGATTGGAAGATCCGTCACCTGTAGTCACCTGCCACAGATATCGGTAACCCAACCTGATCCTTGCAACCACTGTGTCGCACAGTCTGGTGGACGTTTTATGCAGCCCATAAATGTAGGTTTCAGATCTAAACAAGTCATAGCTTTTTATGCGAGTGTACACTACCGCTCCTTGCCAACCATCGTGTTCCTGACAAAGGTATTAACTGTAAGGGGTTTTTAATCATCATTTATCAATACGTAATTTTCTAAATAACCTTCTCCAGTTATTGATGATTTGTGGAACAAGCTGTTGCTTTCGATATGACGTATTAATGACAATTAGGTGGGGAAAACTATGGCCCCTTGGGAGGATTACCTTGCCTAGCGATTACTTTTTCTTTCGAAGGTTCCTGGGATCACCGTCCCCAGGAGGCCTGTATCCGACCAAGCCTCCTGTGGTAAGTGGTCTAGTCAATCAGGCTGACGGACGCAGCTTTCATTTGTACACATTACATTATAAAAACATAAATAATCATTATTTTCTTAACATTAATAGCCCAACTTACTTTTAAATTATCCCAAAAAGTCACATGTAGTGACTTCATATTAAGGAGACAGATTAAATCCAGAGCTTAAAGTCTGGGGAAGCTTGCAGTTGAACTTCATAAGCGTAACAGGCGGAACCAAGGATCTAAACATCAAGGACAATTGTATTTAGAAATGTTCCTGACGAAGGATAAATTCTTGATGTGTAACTTAGCAGAACATAAGGGGGTGTAGCTCAGTGGTAGAGCGTTCGCTTTGCATGTGAAAGGCCCCGGGTTCGATCCCCGGCACCTCCAGCCCTTTGGGGATGTAGCTCAAGTGGTAGAGCGCTCGCTTAGCATGTGAGAGGTACGGGGATCGATACCCCGCATCTCCAGGGTTTTATATATTAACTTATAACTAATTATAGCTAGATATTACCTTGGTTTTTCTTGCCCAGGGATCACGTCAGAGATCACAAAACATCTTTAATCAAACTGTTCACTGTATATAGTGCATATTTTGTCTGCAGGATGATCTTGCACTGCTTGCAACATTGTTATTTACTTCATGACCACTCAAACATTAACTACAGTGCCGTAATGTTGAGTGCTGCAATGCTCACACAATGGAGGGTCGAGCTCTCATCCTAACTCGTGTTTAACTCGTAATCTACAAGTTGTTTGTAAATATTTTGTGATTGTGTAGGTATATGGAATAATACATCGAATTTTATTTGTTTTTCTAAAGTGTTTTATATATGTCTGTCTGTCTGTCTGTTTTTCTTTCTTTCTTTTGTCTGCTCTTTTTCTCTTTGACTCCTCTTTGACTTTCTCTTCTCTTAAACTCCTCTCATTGCTTTCTCTCCCCTTCTCTCTTCTCTCTCTCTCTCTCTCTCTCTCTCTCTCTCTCTCTCTCTCTCTCTCTCTCTCATTCTATCTCTCTTAGTGTCTGTCTTAAACTCTTCTTATCTTCCAACTAAATTTTGAGAGCAGGAACAAGAATAATGAATCAGAAAAATCATACGGAAATCAATAAGGACAAAATAAAAGAAAGACTCGGCAGGAGAACACAAACTACTTCAACAATAATGGGTAGAAGAATAACAAAGGCAGCAAAAACATGAGAACAAAAACATAGCAAAATATATGGAATCATAAAAAATAAAACACGATGTAAAGGGTAAATTTAGAAAAAGACTAATAATGTGAAAAGTGCAAACTTCAAATGAAATAAAAACCGCACTCTAGGCACCCTGATTCCATTTCCTCAGCCAATCACATTAGTCCATGCCTATGACGTTTCTCCCCTCCAACCAATCACTCTGCATGTTGGTCACCAAGAGCCAATCATCTTGCATATCTCAGTGACGTGGTCCTCTTCAGCCATTCACATGTGACCAGCAACTTGGCGCACTTTCCCTGCGCAGAGACCCACATTGGGACCCAAAACAACAGGTCTGGAGGAAGGTGAGCGCAGTCGTCTTCACGTCGTCCTGGTAACCAGACCACTACTTCAGCAGACTCCAGCAGGTCGTAGCTTGCACCAGTAAGTCACCCAAACTGTCCCAGTAGGTTCCAGGTACCAGATGCCAGTCAAGCAATACTAGAATACTGTAGCCCCTACCGGTCACAAATACCCCGTCTAAGATCAACTAAGCAAGACCTTCGTCACATAAACAGCTTCAGCAGCCAATTAGAGCTCGCCAAGTCTAGTCCCTGACAGCCTAACCGGGTTTGCTCTGTCCTCAGAGCACCACACTCTTAGAGTCCACCTCTGTCTTCAGAGCACCACACACTGTAGAGTCCACCTCTGTCACAGTGCAGAAAAGGTTGGAGCAAGCCCGAGCTGGTTGGGCTGGCTTTAGACGTTAGAGGACCCTGGAGTACTTCAAATTCGGGGCTCTCATACACAGAATTTAAATTACATGACATATACAAAACGTAAGTTTCAATCTTTATAAACGGAATATGTCGAAGAAAAAATACGTTATGTATTGAAGAAGCCAATTGCCTGATTTTTGTGTTCCCGGTTGTATTGACGTAGTATATCTTGACTACATACAGGCATGGAGAGCACTACAATAACTTGAGAACATGCAAGCATAGAAAGCACTACAATAACTTGACTACATGCAGGCATAGAGAGCACTACAATATCTTGACTACATACAGGCATGGAGAGCTCTACAATATCTTGACTACATACAGGCATGGAGAGCTCTACAATATCTTGACTACATACAGGCATGGAGAGCTCTACAATATCTTGACTACATACAGGCATGGAGAGCTCTACAATATCTTGACTACATACAGGCATGGAGAGCTCTACAATATCTTGACTACATACAGGCATGGAGAGCTCTACAATATCTTGACTACATACAGGCATGGAGAGCTCTACAATAACTTGACTACATGCAGACATGGAGAGCTCTACAATATCTTGACTACATACAGGCATGGAGAGCTCTACAATAACTTGACTACATGGAGGTTTGTAGTCTGCATGCTTCCCAGGAACTCATTATACTCCCCAGGGACTCATTATGCTACCCAGGAACTCATTATACTCCCCAGGGACTCATTATGCTCCCCAGGAACTTATTATACTCCCCAGCGACTCGCTATGCTCCCAAGGGATTCACTAAGCTCCCCAGACACTCATTATGCTCCCCAGCGACTCATTATGCTCCCAAGGGATTCACTAACCTCCCCAGACATTCATTATGCTCCCCAGCGACTCATTATGCTCCCAAGGGATTCACTAAGCTCCCCAGACACTCATTATGCTACCAGGGGACATCGAAGTTTCGCAAAAATGCTCAATTATCCTGATTTCCGGGAAGTGTGGGCAGGGGTCCGCGGAATCATTATCCCTACTCAGGACACCACAAATTAGTCTGTGCTAATGCGGATTAAAGAGATTAGTCAGTTTTGCTTCCTTAAAAATAATTTTACAGTTAGTCGAATTTACTTTGTTAAAAGAATATTGCCTTATACTGTCTCTACATAATCTGTAATAACTCCTCCTATTGGGCGCCTCTCTATGATATTTGAGCAGTTGTATACAATTCTACTATTATTAAAATCCATCCGATGGTTAAAATCCCAACAATGGTTAGCAATGGCGTTATTACTATTTAAATGTGTTGTTGCTTTTTTGTTTTCATCAACACTTTTCAATAACCCACCACCAATCTCTCCAACATACGATAGATTCCAATTATTATAACTGATCTCATAAACACCATTATCTATATTGTTATTATTATTGTTGCCATTATCAAAGTTACATTGCTGCCTCTACCCCCATTATAAACGTTACCATTGCTGCCAATACCCCCCATTATCAACGCTACCACAGCTGCCTCTACCCCATTATCAACGCTACCACAGCTGCCTCTACCCCCCATTATTAACGTTACCATTGCTGCCACTACCCCATTATTAACGCTTCCATTGGTGCCTCTACTCCTATTATAAACGTTACCGTTCCTGACTCTACCTCCATTATCAACGCTCCCACTACTGCCTCTAACCCCATTATCAACGTTACTATTGCAGCCTATACCCCATTAGTAACGCTACCGGTGGTGCCTCTACCCCTATTATCAACATTACAATTGCTGCCTCTACCCCTCATTAAAACGCTCTGTAGACTCCACCTCTGTTTCAGAGCACCACACTCTCTAGAGTCCCCTGTCCCCCTTTGTCTCAGGGCCGAGTAGGTTAGGTTGGAGTTAGCACGATATGATTGCGTTGGCTTTAGACGTTAGGGGGGCCACTGAAGTACTTGAAATTCGGGGCTCTCAACATAGAAATTAAATTACATGACAGATACAAGAAGTAAACTACAATGTTTATAAACCGCATGTGCTCGAGAAAAAAACCTTATGTATTGAAGAAGCCAACTGCCTGATTTTATTGTTCTTGGTTTTATTGACTAAGTATAACTTGACTACATTTAGGCATGGAGCGCACTACAATAACTTGACTACATGCAGGCATGGAGCGCACTACAATAACTTGACTACATGCAGGCATGGAGTGCACTACAATAACTTGACTACATGCAGGCATGGAGTGCTCTACAATAACTTGACTACATGTAGGCATGGAGCGCACTACAATAACTTGACTACATGCAGGCATGGAGTGCTCTACAATAACTTGACTACATGCAGGCATGGAGCGCACTACAATAACTTGACTACATGCAGGCATGGAGCGCACTACAATAACTTGACTACATGCAGGCATGGAGTGCTCTACAATAACTTGACTACATGCAGGCATGGAGCGCACTACAATAACTTGACTACATGCAGGCATGGAGCGCACTACAATAACTTGACTACATGCAGGCATGGAGCGCACTACAATAACTTGACTACATGCAGGCATGGAGTGCACTACAATAACTTGACTACATGTAGGCATGGAGCGCACTACAATAACTTGACTACATGTAGGCATGGAGCGCACTACAATAACTTGACTACATGCAGGCATGGAGCGCACTACAATAACTTGACTACATACAGGCATGGAGTGCTCTACAATAACTTGACTACATGCAGGCATGGAGCGCACTACAATAACTTGACTACATGCAGGCATGGAGCGCACTACAATAACTTGACTACATGTAGGCATGGAGCGCACTACAATAACTTGACTACATGCAGGCATGGAGTGCACTACAATAACTTGACTACATGTAGGCATGGAGCGCACTACAATAACTTGACTACATGTAGGCATGGAGTGCACTACAATATCTACAGAAAGTCTTATTTTCTACTCTTAGCATCTGTAAAACCAACTCATCAAAGTGTATGAATTTGAGAAGACTATTGTCGACGTCCAGTTGGCTCAAATCGCTTAGTCTTTTATGGGTCATTGTAGGTCTTAGCTAATTCTTCATCAGTGGAAACTGATGAGAGAATTAATGAAATATGAAAAATCCTGAGTGACCTATCTCCTGAACAACTAATGATTATGATGCTCAAATATATTTTAAGAGCTACATTAACATTACAATAAATGTATTAAAAAAATAATTTTCGCATGAACCCTACATCTTTTCTCAAGGTGCTGTATACAGTGTTCTGAACAAGACTGATTGAGTGATAGAGATTAAGCCACGCAAGAGGTGGCACAGTCATGAATAACCTGTAATGAACAAGATGTTTTAGATTCAGCTACACAGAACAAAAAGTTCCAAGTAGCATGGCCTATCATGATTCTTAAATGTGTACCAAGTTGATCGATTGATGAAGATCAATAAACCCAAGAGTTAGTTAGGGCACGAATAGACGGAGCGTATCTCATAATTGGAGCTGGCGTTTGTATTGGACAGAGCGCCTCACTTGGCTTCCATCACCAGACGTCGTTGTGATTATGCTTCCCAGGCACTCATTATATGGGAAATGAGATCCACAGGGGACTCATTATGCTCCCCAGGGACTCATTATGCTCCCCAGCGACTTATTATGCTCCCCAGAGACTCATTATGCTCCCCAGAGACTCATTATGCTCCCCAGCGACTCATTATGCTCCCCTGAGACTCATTATGCTCCCAGCGACTCGTTATGCTCCCCAGAGACTCATTATGCTCCCAGCGACTCATTATGCTCCCCAGAGACTCATTATGCTCCAAAGGGTTTAACTAAGCTCCCAAGACACTCATTATGCTACCAAAGGACATCGAAGTTTCGCAAAAATGCTCAATTATCCTGATTTCCGGGAAGTGTTGGCAGGGGTCCGCAGAATCATTATCCCTACTCAGGACATCACAAGTTAGTCTGTGGTAATGCGGATTAAAGAGATTAGTTAGTTTTGCTTCCTTAAAAATAATTTTACGGTTAGTTGAATTTACTTTGTTAAAAGATTTATTGGCTTATACTGTCTCTACAGAATCTGTAATAACTCCTCCTATTAGGCGCCTCTCTATGATATTTGAGCAGTTGTATACAATTCTACTATTATTAAAATCCATCCGATGGTTAAAATCCCAACAATGGTTAGCAATGGCGTTATTACTATTAAATTGTGTTGTTGCTTTTATGGTGTTCATCAACACTTTTCAATAACCCACCACCAATCTCTCCAACATACGATTGATTCCAATCATTATAATTGATCTCATAAACACCATTACTTATATTGTTATTATTATTGTTGGCATTATCAAAGTTACTATTGCTGCTTCTATCTCCATTATCAACGTTATCATTGTTTCCTCAACCCCCATTATTAACGTTACCATTGCTGTCTCTTCCCCATTATCAACGCTCCCACTGCTGCCTCTACCTCCATTATCAACGTTACCATTACTGCCTATACCCCATTAATAACGCTACCGTTGGTGCCTCTACCCTTATTATCATTGTTGCTGTTGCTGCATCTACCCCCATTATCATCGTTACTGTTTCTGCATCTACCCCCATTATCATCGTTACTGTTGCTGCATCTACCCCCATTATCATCGTTGCCATAGGTGCCTCTACCCACATTATCAACGTTGCAACTGCTGCCTCAACAGCTCATTACCACACTCTGCAGAGTCCACCTTTGTCTCAGAGCTCCACACTATCTAGAGTCCACTTCCGTCTCAGACCATCACACTCTTTCGTGGTTGGAGTTGGAGTTAGCCCGAGCTGGTTGGGCGGGCTTTAGACGTTACGGGTCCCTAGAGTATTTCAAATTCGGGGCTCTCAACATAGAAATTAAATTACATGACAGAGACAAGAAGTAAACTACAATTTTTGTAACCGCATATATTCGAGAAAAAAAACCTTATGGGTTGAAGAAGCAAATTACCTGATTTTATTGTTTGGAGTTAGATTGACTTAGTATAACTTTACTACATGCTGGCATGGAGTGCACAACAACAACTTCACTACATGCTGGCATGAAGCTCGCTACAATATCTACAGAAAGTCTTACTTTCTACTCTTAGCATCTGTAATTTTATTTAACTAACTCATCAAAGTGTATGAAGTTGAGTAGACTGCTGTCGACGTCCAGTATGCTCAGACCACTTGGTCTTTTATGGGTCATTGTCGATCTTAGCTAATTCTTCGTCAGTAGACATTTATGAGCGAATTGATGAAATTCGAAAAATCCTGAACAACTAATTACAATCATGCTCAAATATATTTTAGGAGTTACAATAACAGTACATAAAATGTACAAAAAAACGCATGAAGCGTTTATCATTTCTCAAGGTGCTGAATAAACACTGAACACGATTGATTGATTGATAAAGATTAAGCCACCCAAGAGGTGGCACAGGCATGAATAACCTGTAATGAACAAGACGATGTTTTAGATTCAGCTACACAGAACAAAAAGTTCCAAGTGGCATGGCCTATGATGATCCCCTAAATGTGTACCAAATTTATTAAAGGATGATGAAGATTAAGCATCCCAAGAGGTAGTAACGGCAAGAATAGGCCGTGTGTAACAGATAATTGGAGCTGGCGTTTGTATCGGACAGAGCGCGTCACTTTGCTTCCATCATTAGACGTCGTTGTGATTATGCTTCCCAGGCACTCATTATATGGGAAATGAGCTAGGCAGGGACTTATTATGCTTCCCAGGCACTCACTATGCTCCACAGGAACTCATTATGCACCCCAGGAACTCACTATGCTCCACAGGAACTCATTATGCACCCCAGGAACTTACTATAAGAACATAAGAACATAAGAACAAAGGTAACTGCAGAAGGCCTATTGGCCCATACGAGGCAGCTCCTATTCTATAACCACCCAATCCCACTCATATACTTGTCCAACCCGTGCTTGAAACAATCGAGGGACCCCACCTCCACAATGTTACGCGGCAATTGGTTCCACAAATCAACAACCCTGTTACTGAACCAGTATTTACCCAAGTCTTTCCTAAATCTAAACTTATCCAATTTATATCCATTGTTTCGTGTTCTGTCCTGTGTTGATACTTTTAATACCCTATTAATATCCCCCCGGTTATGTCCATTCATCCACTTGTAAACCTCTATCATGTCACCCCTAACTCTTCGCCTTTCCAGTGAATGCAACTTAAGCTTTGTTAATCTTTCTTCATATGAAAGATTTCTAATTTGGGGAATTAACTTAGTCATCCTACGCTGGACACGTTCAAGTGAATTTATATCCATTCTATAATATGGCGACCAAAACTGAACTGCATAATCTAAATGGGGCCTAACTAGAGCAAGATATAGCTTGAGAACCACACCAGGTGTCTTGTTACTAACGCTGCGATTAATAAATCCAAGTGTCCGATTTGCCTTATTACGAACATTTATGCATTGATCCTTTTGTTTTAAATTCTTACTAATCATAACTCCCAGATCCCTTTCGCAATCCGACTTCGCAATCACAACACCATCTAGCTCGTATCTTGTAACTCTATCATCATTACCTAACCTCAGAACTTTACATTTATCAGCATTAAACTGCATCTGCCAATCCTTTGACCATTTCTAAACCCTATCTAGATCAACTTGAAGTGATAGTGAGTCCTCCTCCGAATTAATTTCCCTACCGATTTTCGTATCATCGGCAAATTTGCAAATGTTGCTACTCAAACCTGAATCTAAATCATTTATATATATTATAAACAACAGAGGTCCCAGGACAGAGCCTTGAGGCACTCCACTTACAACATTTTCCCACTCTGACTTGATTCCATTTATACTAACTCTCTGTTTCCTTTGGTATAGCCATGCCCTAATCCAGCTTAATATAGCACCCCCAATACCATGAGACTCTATTTTTTTAATCAGTCTTTCATGTGGCACTGTATCAAAAGCTTTGCTAAAGTCAAGGTATACAACATCGCAATCCTTACCACTATCAACTGCCTCAACAATGCTAGAATAAAAAGATAACAAATTTGTTAAACATGAACGGCCATTTATAAAACCATGTTGCGACTCAATTATTAATTTATGTTTTTCAAGATGAAGACGAATTTTATTTGCTATTATAGATTCGAGTAACTTTCCCACAATAGACGTTAGGCTAATTGGTCGATAGTTAGACGCAAGTGATCTATCTCCTTTCTTAAAAACTGGTATCACATTAGCAACTTTCCAAAACTCTGGCACTCTGCCTGACTCTATTGATTTATTAAATATGGTTGACAGTGGGTCACTATGCTCCACAGGAACTCATTATGCACCCCAGGAACTCATTATGCACCCCAAGAACTCACTATGCTCCACAGGAACTCATTATGCACCCCAGGAACTCATTATGCACCCCAGGAACTCATTATGCACCCCAGGAACTCATTATGCACCTCAGGAACTCATTATGTACCCCAGGGATTCATTATGCTCCCCAGGGATACATTGCCCGAAATACTATGTGTATTAGTGGCTTTAGGTATTGTACGTACTAGCTCTCTCTATAAATCCAACTTTATGTTTGCATAAAGTTGATCATCTACGTATGTACTTTTCCTGAATAAAAAAAATGAATTTTGAATTATGCTCCCCAGCGACTCATTATGCTCCCCAGCGACTCACTAAGCTCCCCAGACACTCATTATGCTACCAGGGGACATCCAAGTTTTGCAAAAATGCTCAATTATCCAGATTTCCGGAAGTGTGGTCAGGGGTCCGCAGAATCATTATCCCAACTCAGGACACCACAAGTTAGTCTGTGCTAATGCGGATTAAAGAGATTAGTTAGTTTTGCTTTCTTAAAAATAATTTTACAGTTAGTCGAATTTACTTTATTAAAAGA